AGACGGAGCCTGTTCTTCCCAAAAATGGGGCATGTGCTCCCCAAAAAACGGAACATGTTTTGGCCAAAAACGAAGCATGTTTTTCCCAAAAACGGAACATGTTTTTCCCAATAAATTTTTCCAAAACGGAGATTTTTTTTCCTGAAAACGGAGCTTCCCAAAGTCGGTGGCTGGTTTCCCCAAAGTCGGTGACAGATTTCCCCAAAGTCGGTGACAGATTTTCCCAAAGTCGGTGGCGGATTTCCCCGAAGTCGGTGACAGATTTCCTCAAAATTGGTGGCAGATTTCCCCAAACTCGGGGACAGATTTCCTTAAAATCGGTGACAGATTTCCCCAAATCAGTGACGGATTTCCCTGAAATCGGTGCAAAGTCGGTAACTGGTTTTCCCACCGAACCAAGCATGTTTTCCATATGGATCTACAAACTCTTTATATTTCCGCCTGTGTCGTCCTTTCTCTTCAAGCCACTGCAAATGAAGGAATTTCTCCGAGGACAACTGCAAACTTTGGACATTAATGTTCATTGTTTTTCGGGCACACTTGCACAGGAAACCCTGGAAGTTGCTTCTCTTTAAACCTCATTCTAGTGGAGGAACTTAGTGTTCACACTATCAGTGGTACGTGCACAGAGATGTGTAAAGACGCTCACAGATTTTGCATGGTCAACCTTCACTGCAGCCTCGGAAAGACAGGTCAACTATTCAAAAACAGAAGGGACATTCGCATGATTTGTTGCCATTTGATGAACTTTTCAAAGTTGTTTGAATACTTCTGACTACACTTTATGAAATGTCCGGCTCACGCAAATGGCGTGGTGCGCTCGCATGTGTGCTTTGGGCAAGTGTGATTGTATGTTTTTTGACAACAGGGACAACAAGACATCCACCGCGTTCAGTGAAGCTACGTGGTCTACCTCTTCGTGTTGACGTGGGCGAAGGAAAGGGGTTTTGGGCAGCCGTGCAGAATGCGGCGAGTAGGAGCAAGACTGATTGCCAGACACATATGGAGAACATTGTTGCGCTTGCAGAAAGTCACATGAAATCCAGCAAAATTGTTGACAGAGATGCTGCGATACAGGCTTTGGTGGTGTCAATGCAAGAACCAGGATTGGTGTTGGTGTTGGGGGGCAAAAACTTGGGCAAAACATTTCTCAAAGGTGAGGCAATCAAGAGATGCAGAGAGAGCGAAAGGAACATCGACATCGTCTCAGCGGATATGCGGGATGCTGATATGCTTGGCAAACCTTTAATGACAGCACTCGACGTGCAACGCCAAAAATCTCTGAAGTGGGCAACGCGGGCAACGGAACTCTTGCGCGCAGTGATCGAGCATATTGTCACCATGTTTGCAGATAAGAGATATACAGGAGCCGGAAAAGCAGCAAAGGGTGTGCTGGATGTTGTAGTCCAAGCAAAACAAATAAACATTGAAAACTTTATTAACAAGACCACTAGGAGTGGTAGGATCCCCAGTCTCATTGTGGATGAGGCAAATTTGGCATTGCCCGGACTAGGTGAAGATGCGAACACGGCGGCCAAGTCAGCTCTACAAGCCGTCACAAAATGGACGAAGCAGACAAAGCAAGCAAGTGTCTTGCTGATATCTTCAGAGTTTGGGTATCCCTTCCGCCTGCAAGCTGCAGGGTTAGACTTCAGAGACATCCGCAAAGTCATTATCATAGGTGAAGTGCCACAGTCCGACATGAAGAAGATGCTGCAGGATGATTGGGGTATGGACGCAGACTTGGCAGAGATGTTCTACAACTACTTCGGTGGCGACATTTACACCACCAAGCAGGCCTTGGAGAGCCTCATTCGGAAGAAAGATACCTTCGACCCCTTTGCCGTTGTGCGATGTCCCGGGCTGCCTTCGTGTGTGGAAAATGCAGCGGCCAGGGCTCACCTGGAGAACATCGCCAAGCAAGGCTTCTCTTTGGTGAAGAATGTTGAGACTGACGAAGGTGCAAGAATGATTGCGGAGAAAAAAGTGGGCGGGGTCATCGACAAGGATGCCATCACATTTGGTTTGCCACCCATCTTCACCGGCACAGACCGGAAATGGGCTGTCATCCCCTCGTCTTATCATATGAAGCTGCTGATTGCCCATGAGCTCCAGAATATTCCTTTGCCAACATCAGGACGGTGTTGCAGAAACAGGTTCTCTTTCGTGTTTGGTTCTGTTTTGCACACGCTGTTCGAAAGAGGAGGTGGATGGAGGTTGAATAAACTTGTTGAGATTTATATGTATATATATATCTGGACAATCACGAAGTTGATAGATAAAAATAATACAAGCATCCATACCTCCTCCCTGCAAGGTGGTACTGGTACTGCACCACCAGCTGTTTGGGTGAGACAAATCCGCAAGGACTGCAGAGAAGTGCATTCAATGACTGTGTAAACACATTTTGTTTCAGCAAAGTCGTTGCTCTGACCAAAGCAGTGCACTGATCACTTTCGGACAGTTCGGTTGAAGACTATTATCGCCGTTCGTTCAGGTTCATGCTCTTTTCGGGCAAAATAAAGCGTGATGAAGGGTAAGTCCACTGTGCAAGATAATACACTGTTATGCTACGAACTTGGCCGGGTTCAGGACTTTTGGGGAGAAGATTGCAGGGTCGTTCATTCCTCAGGATTTATGAAATATGTATTCTAATAATCTTCCTCATTTTGATAAAGATGATTTAGACTAAAGACTTTGTATGATTTTCTTCCACGCCCTTGTTCCTTTGCTGTGCCCTTTGGTAAGTAAATGCGAGTAGCACACGGTTGAAGGCACGGCACATTACGGGGTCGTACCAATCGGCGCGGCTTCAAAGCCGAGTGCGACAATGTTCATGCAGCCTCTCATCGCTACTTCCGAAACCAACTGGAGGGCATGAGTTGTTGTGTCCATTTGTGCGCCGCTCGCCCCTGCACACAACCAGATGATGACTGCCTTCACGTGATCGCCTCAGCAGTTGTACCTCGAACTGCCGAGTATGACTTGCAAGATGCTGCAGGCAAAGGTGCCGGTGCGCAGCAGTGACACAAGGCTGTTCGCTGCTGATCTCCCAGGGAGCGAGTTCGGAGCCTCTGGGAAGACTATCACAGTCATGTACAATTCCCTCACGTTCGGCTGGACTGGGGCACCCGGCGAATATATGATGTTCGCCTGGGTCGCAAAGCTCGCCCATGCCGCTGATGCCCCCCAAGATGGGCTGTGGAATGACTCGGTCGGCTTCAAGTCACTGGTCTTGATGGACGACTCGATCCTGATTGAACCGGACATTGGGGTTCGCCCGTGGCTGTCGGTGATGTGCGAGACGTGCACGAAGAAAGCGTTGGGGCCCGGCACCATTAATGAAGTGAAGGACGAGGTCGAAGGGGCACTTGAGGCGACCAAGCTGATCTGGGGGCTCATGTACAACACGGCAGAGCACACGAGATCGCTGCCCGCGGCTAAGCTCGAAAAGGCTTCCTATTTGTTGCGCTTGCCCGAGTTCGACTTTGGGAACACGAATGTCCCGCTGAAGTTGGTGCAAGAACTCAGAGGCAACCAACAATTCTGGTTGACAGTGATGCCGGCCCTCCGGCCCTTGCTCTCTGCAACCAACGCCTTGTTGGGCCCCCCCACCCCGGAAGGGATGGCTAAGCTGCGGGGCACACTTGAGGAAGGTTTTGGGAAGCGGTCGAATCGCAACGCCTCCTGGTGGACAATCGATCCGAATGGAGCGTGCGCTTCACACACCCTTTGGTGGAAGCCTTGACGGAACCAAATGCCTAACGTCGCTTTCGGAAGCCCAGAAGAAGAGAAGAGGCAGGCCTGCCAGCTGCCGCGAAGGCTTTGAGGGCTGCCGAGGTGGCCAACTGCTTCACCCTGCGGTGTCCCAGGCGCCTCCCCGCCTAGGCTTTGGCTATAGGCCGGGGTCGGCGGATTTCTAACCTAGTGCATGCATAAGCGGGCGGTAAATTTACTCCCAAGGCTTGCTATAACCATACACAGGCTATTTCCTCAAGACACTCTATTCCTGATACCTTTTACTCCCTTTTTACCAGCGCTTATCCTACACTACGGGCGCCCTAGTGTATGCACAGTCCTTGTGATGCTTACCCCTCGTTCCGGCTCAAGGCATACATAAGCGGGGGGTAAATTTACCCCCCAGATTTGCCATAACCATAAGCCGGCTATTTCCTCAAGACACTCTGCTCCTTATACCTTTTACCAGTGCTTATCCTACACTACGGACGACCTAGTGTTTGCACAGTCCTTGTGATGCCAGAAATGCTCATAAGCGGGTGGTAAATTTACCCCCCAGATTTGCAATAACCATAAGCCGGCTATTTCCTCAAGACACTCTATTCCATATACCTTTTACCCGTGCTTCTCCTACACTACGGACGCCCTAGTGTATGTACAGTCCGTATGATGTCAGAAATGCGGAGGGTAAATTTACCCCCCAGATTTGCCGATCACGCATCTTCGTGCCTGCCAACGAGTGCACCCGGGTTGTTCCAATGTACCCTTCCCAGTCCCAGTCAGCGATGTCACATTTGCATTCTTTAGCGCAAAGTATGTACATAGCAACCTTCCTCCCAGAACATGTACTCACTACATGCTTTGCCGACTATGTGACTAGTACATCCGGTGCGATTCGGCTAGCTTTCGACCTCCTCCCCCTGGCCTCCAGTGCCTTTGTTCCTTTTCAAGCCTTTGACTAGTGGTAGGTTAAGAACAGAAGTGGTTTGTTCAGCTGAAACTTCATGAAGAAATTTCCCTCAGCCATTTTCACATCCCAAGGTCAAAATTCTTGCGTAATGCATTGCATTCCTTGTCATGCGCATTGTTCTTTTGCACTTTGCTTTTCGAAAGGCGCAGCCATTTGCTGTCGCCCACCCCCTGTTGCAATTGCAGGACGGTGATACATTCGCACAGATTGGCAACGCTTTCCCAATTGACCCAGTGCCCTCCAATATTGCCTATTTGAAGGAAGTCCAGAGCTCAGAGCTTGTTGTTGTTCAATCAAACTTGATGCTGTGCCTTGGTGAACGCTGAATGAAGAAGACGAACAAAGCAGGCAGCGATGCAAGCCAGAACGTGTTTTCTTCAACGCGTGTGCAAGTGCATGGTGGTTATTGTCGTTTTGCCTTGAGGCCATTAAGACCAAAAATCCAGCCACAGTCCAATGCGACGCCTTCCAAATTGATATTTTTAGCCAACAGGACGAGCCGCTGTTTATGCCACCAACTCGTTTGCTAGTTGTATTTCAATTTCTCAGCTTTTGTTCACTCGGCTCAGCGCTTTGCGTTGCAATGTCTTTGCTACCTTTTCACTTTTCACTCTTTTGTCAATCGCTGGTCAGGTGAATTTGTCCAATTGTTTTCTTTCACAACACCTCACCCAACCCCTTGCACACCACCGTCTCAACTTGCCTTTGCAGCATTGTGGTTTACCAGTTTGCTCATGGCAGGATGGAAAGTGGATAAAAGAAGAAAAGATGTCGGCAAGCCTTCGCGACACGGATGAGCCCGGCACTTGGTGTTTAGTTTTGAGCAGCCTTTAACCATGCAGGGCTTCAAACTGATGTCAATGTTACGACCTTATGATGTATTTTTGTTTTTTTGCCGCCTTTGAGTTGCGTTTGTTTCGAGAAACAGCTGTTTTGACCACACTTCAAGTTTGTGTTTTTCAATCCAGTTTTAAGGACAGATTGCTATGGCTTCACAGTGCCATCAGCGTGAGTGCTTTTCTCAGCAGCGTTACGCCTAGCGTTCCACTTGTTTTGCCCTTCTGTGGCTGAGGTGAAACCAATTGAGAGCAAGGGTTCCCAATAGTTTCACCGAATTCCATCTTTGGAGTAAATGTAGAGTGGATGTCGCTGTGGCATGACCGTGCATCACTCACAAGATATGAGACACTGCGTTGACACTCTTGTCCAGCAGGTTGTGCACACAGTGGGTGCAGAAACAGTGAACCAAAAAGCTGTTCAAGATACATTTCACTCGGGCAATGTATACGCCCAAGCACAGCGACGAATCCAACCATGCATTGTGGGAGAAGGTAAGTGCTTGATTTTGAACCGGCTTTCCTGAGAGAAACTTGAAAATAAAACTGGAGGAATATATATTGAAAATTTGTGGAAAAGAAGTGGACAAAGTTTGGTGTGCCTTTGACAGGGTTAAGCAAGAAGGGGGAAAAGTATTGACAGTTTTGAGAAATTCCGACCAATTGGTCTTGGGAGCAGTTCTTTTGAGAAATCCACAGGTTCACCCTCGGTTGTGTTTTCCTGCAAGCTCCACGAGTGGATTGCGGGCTGGAAATCCCTCATTGTTTTTGTGTTTTGAGCAAGTATGTACAAAAGTGTTTTTTGCATTTTTGGCTTCGGGAGTTGGGGTTCCGGTGAACGAGGCTGGGCTCTCAGGAAATCAACCACCGATTTTGGGGAAATCAACCACATTTTTGGGAAATCCGTCACCAGCTTTGGGAAAATCTGCCTTCGATTTTGGGGAAATCCGTCGAAATCCGTCACCGATTCTGCCACCGGCTTTGGGGAAATCTGTCACCGACTTTGGGAAAATCCGTCACGGATTTTGGGGAAATCCGTCGCCGATTTTGGGGAAATTAGCCACCGACTTTGGGAAAATCAGCCACCGATTTTGGGGAAATCAGCCACCGACTTTGGGGAAAAACTGGCTATGTTTTAGGGAAAGACTGGCTCGCTTTTAGGGAAAGACTGGCTCGATTTGGGCGAAATTGGTTTGGTTTTTGGATTGGCTTGCGACAAAGCTCAAGTCTCACTGTTTTGAACACCAAACATGTTTGGGTTTGGATGTCACTAAAAGTAAATCAACCGGTGGGAAGTTGGAAGGGTAAAATGCTCAAGCCTATAAACTTTGATATCGAAACTGTTTTGGGGTTCGTGTTAGGGACTTAAATGCGATGCCACAAAAAAAAACTGATATGTATAGTTCCTATTGAGGATGAACATACTTAAATAAATATTAAAATATATAGGTAATTATATATACCATATTATATGCGTTGTTACTTTGTAAGTAGTGGAGTTGAAATTCCGATGACGAATGAAACCTTTGCTTTTATTTGGAACGGTTTTGGCAACAAAGAATTTCATGATAACGAAACGTCTTCTTCGTTTGAAGAAAGCTATGAAGCAATTTCATTAGTCCAAAAGCCCACAAAACCCCAATGGAGAAGGCAATACGACGGATACTATAATAGAAAACCGAACGACGAACAATACTTCCAAAGATATTACTAAGAGAAGACGAAACGACCGTACGTATGCGATATATGCGGTTCTGCTAGGAGCTGCAAATCAAATCTGGTAAAATACATGAAAACCAAAAAATGTCAAAGGTGTTTAGTATAAATTTATTATGATTTTATGATGTAAAAAAATATCATAAAAATATAATTTATTTTTTTAGTAATAAAATTGGCAAAAAAAAATTGGCAAAAGAAAAGGTATTGGAAAAAATATATTACGATGTGGAGGAGGGTTTCGGTTCGGTGAGGGATTTGTACGAAAAGGCTAGGAAAATCGATGTAGGCATAATATATGATTTCAGAATGGATGAAATTTTAACCCAATAAATAAATAAGAAATTATAAGAATTTTAATTTTTATATTGCCCCTTATCTTAAATATGAATTTTAATTTATTTTGATGATAATTATAACAAATCTATTGAAGGATGTTAAAAATGAAATAAAAATATTAATTTATTTTTGGCTTGGAATATATAAATATATTCAATAAAAAATGTTATATAATGCTAATGGAAAATAACGACATTGATGGTATTTATAATATTGTAATAAAATATTTCAAGGTATTAGGTCAGTTATTATTAATCTATTTTAAAAACGAAGGAGCATTAAATAGTAAGAAATTACAAATCTATTTTAAAGGAGAAGGGATAGAATACATAATATAAACCCACGTTAATTAGGCTGAGAGAATGATAAGGACAATTAAAAAAATAATTGTTGATAGGCTAAGAATAAATAAAGATAAGATTTGGGTAGATATGTATTTATATGTGATAAAGGTGTAACAGGTGCCTTACTACTAGTAACAGGCTTTGTGTTCAAAACAGTGAGACTTGAGCCCCAAGCCAAGCCCAAAAGCGAACCAATTTCCCCCAAACCGAGCCGGTTTTTCACCAAAACGGGGCCACTTTGTCCCAAAGACGGAGCCTGTTCTTCCCAAAAATGGGGCATGTGCTCCCCAAAAA